TCTCCTCTATGCGCATTCCGTGGACGTATGAGATATGTAATACGAATGGACTTTTCGTGCATTTGATTATTAAGAGTTAGCGAGGTCGTGATTTAAAACGTGATACTCAACTTCGTCACTTTCTCCGTCTCTTTGGCCACTCACTTTCTTCTGGCACTCAATATCTTTTTCTTTTTGTTAGCCTTCTACTATCCGTCATGAAAACAATAATTGTTATAACATAGTTGATGCGAGGCTGATTATTGTGCGCCGCGAGTGCCGCTGATTTCGTCGACAGCTTTAGCCTTTCTCAATTTTCTCTCCTTACTGAAATATTGAGAGAAAAAAACAGTTGTGCGCTCTCTCTCTCTCTCTCTCTCTTTCTCTCCGTATGACGGTGCTCTTGGGAGTGCGTGCGCGCGCGTCCTTAACTGCACTACCTACTAACGTTAGAACATAATGAAAATTTGACCCTTCTGGAAGCAATGGAAGCAAGTTTTATTTCTCCTTCAATCACATTTGAGAATGACTGATTTTTCCGATGCGCATTTGGCAAAGTATTAAAAGGGCATTCTGATTGATGGAATCAGTTACACGAAACGTCATAAAAGCATTATTTACATTGTTGCTGAACAATGGGGAAAAAAAAGTTTACAAAAATTTTCGGTTTTTAAAATAAATTCTTGTATAATATTGATTAAATGTTACAAAACATTGGTAAATATGTATTCATTGCAATTAAATCAATTAGTTGTAAAGCTTTTCATGGTTATTACGAGACCATATTGGATGGATATTTCTGAAAATTTAATTTCTATAACGTGAATTTGGAGCTACGCAACCGAGATATTTTTTAATGTAAAATTTTATAATTCGACATTGTTACTTTAGTATTTCAGTAATAAATTGTTATTTTAAATAAAGCCAGATACAAAAATATTTTATGCATTTTGTTAGATATAACTAGACGGTATCAATCCATTGAGTTTGCAAACGATCTCGCAAGGAAAAAGTCATGCTGAATTAACATTCAAAAGTCACTGTTTCAACTATTTTAAATATCGACGATGATGTACATCTTATCGTCTATTTATCCTTATTACCTTTATTATCATTTCATTAACTAGGATATCGATAGCATCTTACATATTGCATCTTACATTTCATTGGTTAAATATTGTTACAATAAAAATATTAACAAATATTAACAAAGCATAAATTATGTCGAATAAGTAATTGAAGTAATAAGATTTTCATTTTCGGTGAATTAATTTTTATCTCACCGCGTAGATAAAAAGCTTTCGATATCACAATTATTACGTCGGGCAGCATCGATCGTAAATAAATATATGAAAATAACAATTGGAGGCTGTACTTGCTCGATTGTTTATATATAAATTTTCTAACTAGAAAGGAGGAAATATTTCCAAGCAGCCATGGGGCTACCGATCATCGCTGGTGGCTCCGAGTCTCGTTTTGATGAAAAGCAAGCGATTCGCTTTTCCTCGATAATGCTAGACAAAAAGATGATACGTCTTCTTCCCGAAGATTCCGTGGCATTCGCTGATGAAACTGGCGACGAATCAAAAGTATTTTCACGGTTATAAATTACGGCCAGGAGTGATTAATTCTTATGGATATATTTTTCTATTGACTCGATAAGCGCTCCTGACCAAATTTCCCCTTTCATATCCAACTTTGGTGACTCGATTATGACAATGATAATGCACACAGAACAAAAAAGACATAGAGAAGCTTTCATCAAGCTTCCTTTAAACGATTGGACAATATTTGTGTAAGAAACATTCGATACGCTCGCTCTTCAGAAGTTGGTCCGCAAATGTCGAGGCAGACGGCCACGATGACTCGACGGAATACCATGTACCAAGTGATTAATGATCGTTACGTAGATTTAATAACTAGTCTCTCCGAACGTAAGTATTGACGCATTTCGCTAAATACATATTGTTCGATGATTATTGATAAGCTGTGCATGTTAGTGCTTTCGAAATTTTATTCGTTTTATTCGTTAAGAGTCGAAAGTTTATTGGTGTGGCTATATTCGCGAACTTCTGCTGACAAACATTAAAAATAGCAAATGAACGGTTAGTCGGGCGGGATCGGTGGAGGGCGTACAAGGCTAATTACATTATTTATATTAGCGATAGCGTTTTAATTATATTGACAAGTTTGATATTTAACGCTAAACATTTAGAATTCTGCTGAGATATTTAAAGCTACTTTCTATCCCTTTATTCACGCATTTGTTAATAATGCAGAATATAATCTACCTGCACATTGATAAAAGCATTTATCCACCGTTTCTTGATAATACATGTATTACTATCTTCAATCTCGCGTAAATTTTAAACATTATCAGTTTCGAGGTTCGTTCAACTCTGAACTTTCTCATTTTGAAGTATTTGAAGTAAGTGCGCTGGTCGTGCTATTAGTAAAACAAGGCTAATTTTCGAATGGCCATATGGTAGGAGTAGTACGGAAAAAGAATGACCGGAAGTTGCAGCTAATGCAAATGAACAGTCAATTGACACACACACACACACACACACACACACACACACACACACACGTGAATATTAAAAAGTTGAAAAAGATTTTCACTGTCAAATATAGATGAGGATTTGTATTAAGATTTAATCACTTCCGGGATATTCCCTCCGTTAAAAGTTGCTCCGCCTGTGCCTACATTAATAAAGAATAAACAAATGCTTGGAATAAGATTGAGTATAATAAACTTAATGTAAAGGTAAACAATACATTAGCTGAAATACAAGGCATATAAGATTGACGTGATTGTAATCGATCAAAAATTTAAAAATCAAATAAATGCATAATATCATTCGTATTGGCCTGCTGTTTTTAGTTCTTAAATAATGAAGTAATTTCAATTACATTTATAATTCACGATTGCAAATTATGCTAATTTCTTTTCGACGGTTACAATTAATAATAAATATAATGGATATTTTGTAAGGAAAAAAAAAAAGAAAAAAAATAAATAAAATATCAATCTTATCTATTTGAGATTAATCCAATCAATAAAAATGATAAATTAAATAAATAATATTAATTGAATTTATTTCATTATCATCTTCGTTTACATTTACTAATTTAGTAAAATATGATATTCGTACAATGCTTACTTCGACGAATATTAGCAAGTTCACAAACAACCAACTCACCCGCCCACCCACACACACGCATTACAATAATCAAAATCGCGTACTCTATATAATTTTAACAAAATTAAACACATTTATTTGTCATTGAAAATTAATCAATATACAGTGAATATTTAAGGAGACTTTTATTCATTTGACTATGACAACATACGATACACAAATAAAACAATAGATATTTCGACTAAATATTACTATTATAATATGCTTATAATACATATATTATAAGTAATAATTAATATTACATTTAATATTGACAGTTTTGAGCGCGAGCGCGTAGGTGTTTGTGTTTGTGTGTTTGTGTGTGTGTTTGTGTGTGTGTTTGTGTGTGTGTGTGTGTGTGTGTGTGTGTATCGGTTTGCGTGTGCGTGTGCGTGCGTGGGTGGATGTGCGGGAGCAATAGAGACGCTTTTGTATAAACACGTTGACATTCAAATGCTTGTATATTGACGTGTAAGATCTAAGCTTTCAAAATTTAAATTTAAATGTAAAAATAATGAAAAAAAAAACACATATCCGGATAATAGTTTGATGAGTTTTCATCGGAAAATAAGGTTATGTAATAAAGGTATAAAGGAGAGAATGAAAAGCCGAGTTGAAGAAGCAAGGGAGAATAAAGATTAAATGAAAGTGTTGGAAAGTATAAATACGCTACAAGGAGGAAATTGACAAATATGCAGCGGATTATATTCATACGACTAGGATGCACTTTTAATCGAAAATTTTAATTCGCAAGCCGATGTTGCGATCGCACATATTCGAAAGTATTCAAGTGTGCGTGGTAAGCGGGGAGTGACTCTTGGAGCATTCGGTGTTAGTTCTCGCACAGAAAAATAAATCGTCGACGTAATGGAGAGTCGAGGGGCAGGCCGCGATGAAATTGTCCTTCCCTGAATCGCGCTCAGCCCTAAAGCTTTGGTCAGTAGTTGCCAGGATACGTGGGAGGAAACAAAAGCTATTGGCTGATAAATGGAGCCGTCCTACGTTGATAGATACCACGAACCTTACAGCTCTAATTCTTCACCGGACGTCTGTTTCGATTTTTTTAATTTCAAACAGTCGAGGATACTCGAGTATCAACGGAAAAGCTTAACGAATTACGCTCAAATGCCTTATTTTATCAGCTGTTATGTAATTTGCAAGTTTCATCGACCGTGTATAGTGAAAGTAGTTTTGTGAAAAGGGAATAGAACCTGCAGCATACGAATGATAAACAATCATATTCGTATGTAAGGTTTTTCATTTTTTCCTTTCGTTTCTCTTCTTTTGTTCTCTTCTTCTTCTTCTTCTTCTTCTTCTTCTTCTTCTTCTTTTTTCTTTTTCTCATTCTTTTTGTTCTTCCTTTTTTCTTTGTTTTTTTCTTTGTTTTTTTCATTGTTTTTATTTTTATTTTTGTTTTTTGTTTTTTGTTTTTTATTTTTTGTTTTTTGTTATTATAGAGGGATCGAAGAATATGTTTACACTTTGACGTAAGGGCAGGCTTTTTCGTAAAATCACTCTGCCACGTCGACTTATTTAATAGCAATGTTATTTCTCACTTTATTCACGCATTTAATCCATCCAACAGTTTTATTTGTTTCTTACTGTTGTCGATGTTGCCAATCTCCTTCGTAAATAAAGAAAAGGGTTGCCCCCTATGAATCTACGTGTACATTGACAATACCGGTTTGGCGTTTGCTTATATTATTCTCTTTAAAGTATAAATATCAACAGCACTATTAATTTTATAATGTTTAATAAAGATGTATTGTATACATTTTTGTAAAAGTGTAATTACGCATGCCCGTGCGAGCCTTTATACCTATTGATGTATATTATATGTACATGTACAATTTTGCTTTTGTAAGGTTCTATACATATTCGATTAATTCGAGCACATTATTGTATTATAAGACAGAGTAGTTTAAGAATATTTAATACGATTTCGTGGTTCATGAGTATGACAGCAGATTTAGGAACAAGTAAGAATCGCAGTTGTGTACCAATTAACAGTTGGCGATTCGAGGTAGATAGCGAGGAGACTCCTTTGTTAGTCGATGGGCAGCTTACTCGATGCCTTTGGCGTAGGGATAGTTGGTGCCGGTGCCAAGGTAGTAGGTGCCGTTTGAAATCAGATTGCTGTTGTCACCGCCCATGAGACAGATATTGCCCTCGCAGTCGCCGTGCACGAAGCTCGAGTAGTTCTTGCAGTTCATCCCGTAGAAGCCGACTGCGCTGACGATGGACTCGGCGAAGAATTCGTAAGAGCGGGAGTGAGAGCAGGAGCCACCAAAGTCGATGGAACAACCCACCTGCCGTTTACCTCCGTTCGGGTAGAAGTCGGCGTCGCCAATGGGCGCGAGAAAACCCAGGAAGCCCGCGTTCGTGTGGATGATCTCCACTTGCTTCGCGTCTTCGGTCGATATCCTCGAGCCGACGCCGGCAAAGGAGAAGAGTGGCAGGGCCGGGTCCAGACCTGGGGAGCATCGTCTACGTTCAGTACACGCGGTTGGCTTTCCAAACCGTAAAGTTTTTCGAGCAGAAGTTTTGGACACGCGGCATCGCTAATTACTTTGGCATTATAATGCTCGAAGGCCATAATTGCGTCATGGATCTTTCTAAGGTTACATGGGAGGAAGCAACTGTGCTAATCAACTGGGCGTGTTGCATTAAAGTGGCAATTACATGTATTAAATTAACGTACCAACGATGTAGTTGACTTTATTTTTGGCGTAGTATCCGGCTAGACCCACTACGTGAGCGCCTAAAGAATGTCCGGAAAGACTGGTTGTGTTGAGATTGATACCTTGCTCTTCTAAAAAGTCGATCATTTTGGCCACGTGTTTGCCAACCTGGACAACATGCATGGCTGACCAAATGTAAGTACCTTTAGCTATTTTACTCCAGTCGACGATAATAACGTTGAAGTCCCCGTAAACGAGATAGGCTGATAACATCGATCATTAAATATTTTGCACTAGCTTATGTAGATTAAAGATATAAGGTGAGATGGATCAATGCTTACCTTCTCTGACTAATCTGCAGGATTTGCTACTTTTCGAATTCATCCATCCATGAGCAAAGAATTTGGTTTCTCGAGTTGCATCGAAGGTTGACAATTTTAACGATTGCACGTCGCCAATCGTTATACTTTCGTAATTGCCAGTGAGATTTCTAGTATACAGATAGAATCGTACATGCGTATTCATAGAAATCAGTGACGAGAGCAGATCATTTGGAATGTCAGCCGTAGCTCGAACAATTTCTTCGTTATCATCGAAAACCCAAAGCCCGTCATTGCTGTTCAAAAGACTTAAGTCGTCGCCAGTGATTTTAAAACATTCGATCTTGACAAAGGCTGAAAAAGGAAAACAAAAAAAAAAAAAAACAAAAAAACAAAAAATTAATATCCATTTAACATTACGCACATTGCATATCGTTGCGCATCGTCATTATGCGTAAACGTAAATTTTACTATTAATTAATAAATTGATGAGTTTGCACTTATTCATTAGCTCGTAATAATTATCTATAGGCGATTTTGTGCACAATCGAAATGGAAAGAAACTATTAATTTGCAATAATGTCAAGCTTGTTTGTCAAATTTAGTAATTTTCGTGAATGAAAAATCATCATTGAATTTTTAATATCGTTAATGTTTTAATCTTCTATGAAATGATTTTGCACATAAATGTATAATGAAAAAATTTATTCTCAATATGTAGTGATAAACAAAAGTCTGAAATTCCGAATAGAATAGAAACTACTTGTTGCTCGGTTGGAGATTTAAAAATTGTTGATAAATAAATTATAGGAATTTGAAATTTGTTTGAAGCTTTTTTTCCAAAATTTTCAGGCACTTGGCATTAATACATTCTCTAAAATATGGGAAACGTGTGTCAATCTAATGTCAATAAACTGTTATCACATTCCAATAAAAGAATAGAAAATATTTGTATAATATCTTATATGATTTAACGTACTTTCAATTTTATCACATCAATATTTTTTTTATTCTTTTTTTATTCAACTCTTTGATATTCGAATAGCGTCAAATTGCTATCTACACGTCATAATGAGTTTATTCCCATAATTGTATCATCCTAATAACAATCATAGTACATTATATTTGAACTCTAACGTCTTTTATATTTACAGCTTCTTCCAGTAACTTCGACATATGCATGACACAGACATTTTTCAAAATTTACACGCGCGTCCTCTATTTATACATGATATTAATAATATTACATCTATTATCATTTAATGTAAGTAAAAATAGAATATACAAGTTTAAACAGGTGTGAATAATTAAAATAGTCTCTTTTACTTTTGTAGTGTTATATTTATATAAAAGCCATGCACACAGCTGAAGTTATGCTGAAGTAAGCATAAAGTTAAGCTAATATTACCTTAACCTTGTATCTTATTAATTTGAAAGTCTATAGAATATGAGAAATCAATTTTAAAAATGAAATTTGTTTATAAATGGTAAAGCCATTTGTTTTTATTATAATGCATAAGACGTAGTATGAAAAATTTTTTTATCGTTTAAACACGCAACATTAGCATCGATTTATTTTCAAAAACAATTAAAAGTTTTGATAACAAAGTAAAATAATTATGTAAAATTCTAATTATGAAAAATGTTAATTAAATATATCTATTCACCTATCTATCTAACTATCTACAGATCATTCAATTATAATCGCACGCGCGCGCACACGCACACGCACACGCACTCGCGCACGCACTCACGCACTCACGTATATATTAGGCAAATGTTTTGTTAATTAATTGAATAATATAATAAATAAGAAGCATTCAAAAATTTATTGGATGCTATGTATTGATAAACACATACCATTGATTATCAAGACCAGCAGAAGATTAGTTTCTACGTGAATCCTCATGCTGCCACTAAATTTCTCTGTACTTTGTATTGTTCTCCTGCGTTTATAAAGCTTCAGTTTTGAATGCCGTTAAATGATAAGATAAGGTACTAATCAATGATAGAAACGGTCTGCGGAAACCTGATCTGAATAACACCATCTTATTTTTAATTATTAATAAATATGATTGTAATTTATGATAGATAATGTCTGATTTCGTTAATAGCAGTGGGGTTTAACAAACTATTAATAAACTTTCAAACATAGCATGATATAATAATTTGATATGAAAAATATATGACATAATAATAACAATAAAATAACAAATTATAAATATATTATAAAAACGAAAGTATCATTCATTATCAATAAAGTACTTAAATTTACAAGTTTTTTCTTTTTTTTTTTTTATTTTTTATCTTTATTATAGTTCATTAAGGTATGTTTGAAAATTTGATTGTAAATTAAATGTCTTAAAATATTATGTATATTTTTACATGTCTAGAGTATCATAGTATTAGGATATTCTAATTGTGAATACTAATCTATAGAGTTTGCAATATCTTTAAAATTATAATTAGTATTTTATCAAATCAAAGTAGGCAAGAATTAACTCAAATAAATCAGATTCTGAATTGAATTGTCGACATTTTTATAGAGATTTGATTATTGCTATTTCAAACGAGAGACAAGTCTTTGTATACAAAGATTTTCGATAGAGTAAACACAACCATAAATAACCTAAATTAATTTAACTAATAGCACATGTAAAATAAAGCTTATGCAATATTAATTTGCTACATGCAACTTTAACAGGTTGCAAAAAATTATTATTACAATAAATTAATTATTATTCAAAATTTAAAAGAATAATGTACCACATCAGATATTACATTGTACCGATGAATTAAAACGTATTTAAATTAATTTAATTATTATTAATAATATGTTTTCAACGAATTGGCGACAAGGAGAAAGTTGTTGAATGATAATTAACTTATTCAAATGAATTATTTTTTAACGCATATGAATTATTCGTTAGAATTATCCTTTAGACAAGAAGATTTAAAAAATAATGCATAATTTCACATATACGATTTATAAATTCATTATTCTCAACGCTTTATAGCACCATTTTTTTTTTCAAAAGAATTTTCTCCAAAACATCACAATATACTATTATAATTAATAATTAATTTTGAAAGTATTAATAGAAATTACTTATCTAGACTATAATCACTTATTATTATTATATTTTTTATTGGTGAAGATTTAAGGTAAATGACATGAAAAAAATATAGATAAAAATGATGAGTTAATATCACAATGATCCAGAAGCGAATGATTTAGCGTGTGTGTACTAATAATAATGATTATGTACAACGCAAAATAATTCTATTGCAAAAGGTATTTTTCCCAGAATAGAAATGATCCTTTCATAAACAATTTGACAGATACATATATCCAGTTTTAATAGCTTATAACGTATATATTGAGTATATTAGGATTTTCTATTGAAACAGAGATGCATGAAATCTATGAATTTTATTATATATATGAATTTATAATTTTAGGCTTTTTTTTTATTATTTGTAAAAAAAAATTACAATTTTCTTTAGCATTATTTAGTTCGTTACAATGTAATTATTAAATTTAATGGAAACTTAAATGCCTATATATTTATGTATATTTAAAAAACAAAAGTCTTAATATGCTCAAACAATATTTTAAAAGGAAATGTCAGTTTATGCTCATTTAGGATGAGATAGCAGTATGAGATAAATTTCATAGAAATAATTAATAAACGTCAGCGTTTGAAAATTGACCATACAATTTCTAAGAAAATAAATGATTTTTCAAAAATAATCTTGTTTATCTATCATTTTAGTGACATTGCTATGCTTCATACATAATTTTGCTTTTGCTGCAATTACTAATAATACCGTGAAAATGAATATTCTTAAATATGATATTTCAAATTATTAACATTTTTAAAAACGTCTTCCTTAAATATGGATATAATATACAATATAAATATATATAAATGAATATATGATAAATGAACTTTTCAAAACTTTAATGCGTATCTCAAGTCTTACAGCTTTAAGATTTGCAGCTTAATATTAAAAAGGGAAATAACCATCAGAATTTTAACTGGCCCAGGATTTTGAGACTCTTCCCCTGTTTTTCCGAGTATGTTTCTTTTCTTTACTACTTATAATAATACTGTAATGAAAAATCCTTTACAGATCAGGTGATTTATTGGATCACTTTCGGTGATGTGCATTAATTATATCAAATATTCAGTTTTTTTCTGTGTAATGTATTTCTTTTTTTTTTAATTAATTTTATTGTTTATTTATTGTTATACATTTATTATTAATTATTTTTTATTTGTAATAAAGATAAATGTTATAGTGAAATATTAGAGATTATTTTTAATTTAAATAATTATATTACTCGTGTGTTGTATTAAATATATAGTTTATTTTGAAAAACATATAATATTTATACATTTGTCTAATTACAAATAGATTATGATTATAGATAGTAAAGAAGAAATGTTATCGTTATAAATGTTATATTCATTAAAACGGTTATAAGAACGGTAATTGCATGTACGTACGAATCGGTATGAAAGATAGATAGATAGATAGATAGAGAGAGAGAGAGAGTGAGAGAGAGAGAGAGAGAGAGAGAGAGCAGAAAAAAGGATATGTATCTCGACATATTAAAAATAAGTGGGAAATGTAGATTGGGAGTGTGGTGTGGTTTTCCCTCGATTGAACATAAAATGTGAGCTCAAGTAAGAGAGAAAGAAAAATATAAAGTGAATAGAAACAAAACTCGAGCTTAAGGGATAAAAAGTAAAAGATGTACGTGCAAAGATTAATAGCCTGAAAGTATATAGCGATAAAGAGAAAATATAAACTGTGCAGATACTACAACAGACTTATATTTTACTATAACTTTAAAGATCACAGTATTAAGTCATGAAGATATTAACACAAAGTGAATCGAGAGCTAAAACTCTGGTAATGTATTTTAATATAATTACGAGAAACTATAACTTATACTTAAAGAAGTAGAAAAAGAATTACGATATCTCAAATTGATAAGGATATTCTTTGAGTATTATCAATACCGCATCTGAAGTGATTGAAAGGTTGCTTAGTTGAAATTTTCACGTTGATTTGATGGTTTTAAATACACAATATATCGACGATAAGTAGACATAAGAATAACCTCGGAATTGTTCTCATAGATTGAGATTTTATCTCTATTAATATATTATCAACTGCAATTAACAGGTAATTTCGTAACATTTTCAATTTTAATTCACGTAGTTTGAATATGGCATGAGCGTAACTCTAATAATTAAAAATTATTATAGTTAAATGGACTGTTAATTATCTTTCAACTATTTTGGATTATTTTATTCATTTCATTCTATAGAAAGATGCGGAATACTTATATACTTCGAAACTTAAGCTGCTTAGAGAAAGATAGAGCGAGAGGGGGGGGGGGTTGGGGAGAGTGAGAGGGAGTGAGAGAGAGAGAGAGAGAGAGAGAGAGAGAGAGAGAGAGTTTGAGAGAGTGTGAGCGAGAGTGCGTGGGAGGAGGTGGGAAGGGAATCAGTAAGAAAATGAGTCCGAGTTTTATCATTCAAGGGCTATATAATGGTATTCAAAGCTCATGTATTTTGTTTAATTTTGAAAAATTCTTTCATGTGCTTATTCTACAGATTATAAACTTGGGAAAGAATGAAAAAAAAAAATCAATTTTTTAATCGTCATATAAAAATGTCCCGTTATGATGTAATAATTTAGAGACATATACGTGCATATTTATGTACTTAAATTAAATTATTTTCTGCTCATGATAGATTTGTGTATATGATTTAATAAAAATTATAAGTTTTTATCTGGAATGAGATACGACATATTATTGTTAATAGCTAAAAATATTTCCTCCTGTTATTAATTAAAATAAGAAAATGCTTAATCAATTTTATATTTCCTCAGTTGGTATATTTATAATTCTGCTAACCTAAGTTTGCCACAATATGTACTAACATGTAGAAGTATTAATTTTTGTATGTATTAAATATTCAATAATAGGTATATAAACACATTTTTTATTTACAAACAAAAACAAATATAAAGTGTACAAGAGGATAAATAGAAGATAAAAAAAAAATAATATGGATATTATTGATTTCATTCAAATTCCCCTGATTTATAAAAATCCTCTAATCCATTTAATAAATGTTTTGAGATGCGATATATATAAATTGTAATATAATCAATTAAGTTTTGTCGAATGAAATAACACTTTGCAAAATATTTAAATATTATCGACGTTAATGTCCCAAATATAATACAATTGATTAAATTTTTGGACAATATGATGTATTATTTATTTTAAAACTGTAGATGAATGCTTTTTTTCCAACGCCTACGGATTAATGAATATAGTATTGTTAAAAAAAAATATCGATTATTCAATGAACGTTTTTTCAACATTATTGAAAGTTAGAATTTGTTATAGATTTATAATCATTAATAAGATTAAAGAAAATATGAAATTGTTAATACGTTAATATTGTTTCGTTTTAATATCCCATCAGTATTTTAAATTAATAAAAAGTCATTGCAAATATAATGCATCTATTTATTTAGTAAATTATAGCATTACATATTCAAAATATCAATAATATTACATTTCATAGAAATTGATTATACAATGAATGAATAGCGAGTTACATTGGCCAGTAGAGTATGGATAAAATTTTCAGAAATTCAGAATAAATATTTATTGTATGGGAATTTTTTAAAAAATTTTCTACTTAATTTTTTCGAATTACTTACTGAATTTTATTTACTTCGTTTGATTTCTCATTACTTTTAGCATATTTATATGCTGCTAATAATGATATTTAGCTTAGGAAAACGATATCTCTTATTTATTATGGATATAGAAATAACGCAGGTGTGTATATTTATTTAAAGATCTTGCTTTTGTCATTATTACACATAAGTTCTGAAGGTAAAATTA